TGGAAGAATAGTGAATAAGTACGAAAGAAAATAGAAAAAGAAAAAAATGGCAGGATGGGGGTTGTACATCCATCCTTGCCCTACTTGACCTCTCAGTGGCTTTCCATACCATCGACCATGGTATCCTTCTGGATCGACTCAGAATTGGGGGTGGGCAGCACAGTGTTGTGCTGATTCACCTCCTTTCTCCAGGGTTGAGTCCCGTTGGTGGAGATTGGGGAGGAGAGGTCTTGCCCTCAGCCCCTACCGTGTGGGTGTCGCAGGGTTCGGTGCTCTCCTCTCTCCTGTTTAACATCTACATCAGATGAGGTCATCTATTGGCATGGGGTGAGGTATCATCAGTACGCTAATGATACCCAATTATACATTTCTGCCCGTGGTGAATGAAGCGATGCTATGAAAGTCTTATCCCAGAGCCTGGAGGCTGGGAGGGTCTGGATGGGGAACAACAGGCTTCAACTGAACCTTGGCAAGACTGAGTGGCTCTGGGTTTTGGAGCCCGCTGGTTCTAGGACTATGCCATCTTTGGTGCTGGATGGGGTCGCACTGCCTCAGACAGACCCCATGCACAATCTGGGGGTCCCCCTAGACTCACAACTCCTCCAAGAGCAGGTGGCACTCATGGCTAGGAGGGTCTTTGCACAACTTCATGTTGTGCGCCAGTTGGGCCCATTCCTAGATTGAGGGGCTCTCCTCATGGTCACTCATGTCCTGGTCACCTCCTGATTGGACTGCTGAAATGCGCTCTACGTGGGGCTGCCCTTGAAGATTATCCAGAAGCTTCAACTGGTGCAAAATGCAGTGGAGCGGGCAGTTATGTGTGTTCCTAGTAGAACACGTTATACCTCTGCTCCACAAGCTGCACCGGTTACTAGTTTGTTTCCAGGTCCAATTTAAGGGGCTGGTCTCGACCTTTAAAGGCCTACATGGCATGGGACCGGATTATCTGAGGGACCGCCTCTCCCTGATTACATCTGCCCATCTCACCAAATCCAGCAGAGACAGCATGCTGCAGGTCCCATCGGCTAAGGAGCTACATTTGGCGGGCCCTTCGCTGCTCTGGTGCCTGCTCTATGGAAGATCCTTCCCCAAGTGACGCTGGTTTCATCCCTTTTGAATTTCCAAAAGTCCCTCAAAACCTGGTGGTGCCATCAAGCCTGGAGACTCCAGGGGACTGGTGAATTATTAAGGTGGCTACATTACTATTAAGATCTCTTTGCCTAACATCCCTTCTTTTTTAGTATTTTTGGGAGTTTTTTTAATGTTTTTAATAATTATTATTATATTGTTTAGTATTTATTAACTACCTGTTTTAGCTTTGTTGTATGCCTCCCACTTGTTGTGAGATGGGCGGCTATATAAAGTTGATAGATAAATAAAAAAGGAGAAGAAAGGGGAAAAAAAATAAAAGATGATAAAGACGCGGCTTCCAATATTTTTGACAGAGGTTATAAATGCATTCCTATTTTACCCTCTCGAAGTCCACACATCTTAAAGTTGCCAAGATTGTTTAGTATTTATTAACTACCTGTTTTAGCTTTGTTGTATGCCTCCCACTTGTTGTGAGATGGGCGGCTATATAAAGATGATAGATAAATAAAAAAGGAGAAGAAAGGGGAAAAAAAATAAAAGATGATAAAGACGCGGCTTCCAATATTTTTGACAGAGGTTATAAATGCATTCCTATTTTACCCTCTCGAAGTCCACACATCTTAAAGTTGCCAAGTTTGAAAGCCACTGCTCTAGATGTAGAGAGGTCATTAGCTACAATCCCTGCCCCACTGGACTTCTCTCCAAATCCCTTGCCTAGGTTCCTGTTGCCTTCCCAAGGATGGGGAAGTCATAGGCCTCCCCAGAAGCTCCACCCAGCATGGCCAATAGTGACTGATGTTGGGAATGACAGTTCAGCAGAAGCAGGAGGTCTGGACGTTCCTCATCCCTGTCCTTCGGTCTCCAGTACCATTACATTTTTAAAACTCCACAAAGCCTTGCTTCGGTTCATTTTCTCCTCTCCTTGGTCATAATCCCCCCCCCCAATCCTGACTCACTCCTTGAAGACTTGATTAAGTCAGTCAACTACATGTTCAGCCACCTAGATCAGGGGACCATCTGCTGTATCCCTATGTCAGCTGCTCAGATAACTTTACCATAGAAGATTCTTTTTAAAAAGAAGTCCCTTGGTCTAGCACCAGCTGTTCCAAATGAGTCTCTCCATTTAAGTAAACTTATATAAAATTAGCCTTGGCTGAGGTCTCTGCTATACAGCTCACTATTAAATTGTGTTGATGTTTGCTCTGTTTTTATTTCTAATTTCTACTGCAAACATTTAAGATTTCAGTGTGACACTTCTCTTAACAGTGCCCTTTTTTTTTTCAAAACATGACAAAAATAGGACAAGAAACTTCAGCTCCTTCCTGCTTGAGGAATTCTGAAATCAGCACCAGGAGGCCAAAGAGTTATTTATGTCTTTATGACTCCTCTTGTAAAACACAGCTTTGGTTCAGTTCTCATTAAACTGGCTATCTGAATTTCAAAGGGTGATAATGCACTTCTCCTTATAAAGCTGGGTCTTGTATAAAATCAGGGTTCATGCTATTTCTTCAGGACTGGGTCATAGAAATGATTTATGCTGTGCAACCTTTTGGTGGTGTCCCCGAAGCTATTCAGAAATTAGTGTGGGGGAAATGGTGAAGGTTTCTTATGTTTGGAAAATAAAATTAAAACTTGGACACATAACTTGTATGTTGGTAGGCTGTCCTCAAACACCTGCATTCTACTCTTCTGTAGGAACGTTCTGAAAATTTACAGAGCTCCATATTTGTCCAGCTGGAATGAATAACCAGCTAGGTTGATGATTCAGGCAGTCTCAGAACAAGAGTAGGTGCGACGTTACACTAGGGTTATTTAGCTGCTCTTAAATAGAATATATTTTTTAAAATACTGGCCCCGCTTACTCATCTTACTGTCCAGCACTTTGAAGATTTCCAAAAGATTGCCCCAGAGCAGGTGTGAATGTCAATGTAGCAGCTGTTCCCAGGACCATAAACAGCTGCATCTTATCCTGGAATTGGAGGTATCACGGATAGGGACTCTGGGCATACTGCTGTATGTCCTGAAGCTGCTTGGAGATTGAACCCAAAGCCCCTTCCAACTTGATGCCTTTCAAATATGTTGGATTTGGCTTCTCATCATCCCTGTCTTTTGATAAAAAGTTTAAAGCAGGATTAAAGTTTAAACCCTTCCCCCATAGTTGACCTACAGTTCTTATCATAATGGGAGCCCACACATCTGGAGCTCACCAGATTGAGGAAGGCGACCTTCAGTTGCCAGAAAGGAAGAGCCAAAGTGGATAAGCAAATGCCAGATCCTAGGCATGTACTTTATTTCTGGATTTTCTCTGAGAATCCTCAAGAGATGATTGGGGTATTTTGTCATTGTTAGTGTGCTAAGATGAAATAATTTTTTTAAAAAGCCTTGGGGCGCTTGTCCTCCCTATATCAGATCTCTTTGCTCATTACGTTCCTTCTACTTCCCAAATGTGGCAATGAGGAGAAAGCACCACTTGCACAGGGACTAGCCTTGCATGCTTCTTCCTCACAGGGCTCCAGAATGTTAGTCTGAAGTGCAAGTCTCCCTCTCAGCTCATTAAATCAGAGGAAGTTGTCATTTCTGTGCATCCTGGTAGAGCAGCCTTTTCTGATTCGCCCTTGCCAAATGGGTTTGATGGCAATGGTAGTCCAGCACATGGGGAGAGTCCCAGGTTGAGTAAGGCATCGGACATCAGCTCACGAGCCTGTGCAACCTGGCGATGCAGGTATGTAGAAGTGGTACTCAAGAATGCCAAGCAGAGGAAGAATTCTTAGGGGAAAAATAAAATGAGAATAGAAGAAATGTGTGTTAGCTAAGACTAAGGAAAGTTGAAATAAGACTTGGCCTGCTAATGTATTAGCTGTCCATGACTGGTGGTCTCCATCATTCTCTTTGCCCACATCATCCAGTATACACAGAAAGCCTGAGATAATGGGAGCTTCTTCTCTCATTTGTTTGATATATTTCTATTCTTATCTACCTATGGAGTAGGTAGGTAAAAAAAAAATGGAACCATCTTCTTGTGCTTGCAAAAGTGTCCTATTTTCATACTGCTTGAAACTGCAATGGAAATACTGTCTGGGCCTGTGTGGTGCCGGGTAATCTGCTTGCTAATCATTAGGGGGAAACTCATCCCTGGCAAATGGATTTCTGAACTTCTTGCTGAATTTCAGAGAGAAACTACTAAGCCAGTATTAATCTGCAACAGTTCTTAGGTACTGCCAGAGTTACATCTCTTTCCCAAGACTGGAGCAGAAAAGTTGAGAAGCTTCAACGATGCTCAAGAAGAGTTGAAATCCTAGCAATTTTAATTTTTCAATTTTAAGTTTTTGTATTCCAATGATTGTATGAACTTTTCCTAAGGTGATGAAATCAGAATTTTAAACATGACACAATTTTGAATGGCTGTTTTTATAATGTTTATTTTCATGCAGGATCTGATAAGAAGAGACATCTTGTACTACAAAGGACGGATTGATATGGACCGCTATGAGGTTTTGGATATTGAAGATGGAAGGGATGATGACTTCAATGTGAGCATGAAGAATGCTTTCAAACTACATAATAAGGAGACTGAGGAAATGCACTTATTTTTTGCTAAGAAGCTGGAAGAGAAATTGCGGTGGCTCAGAGCTTTCCGGGAGGAGCGAAAGATGGTACAAGAAGATGAGAAGATAGGTAAGACACAAGGTTCTAAGCAGAGGGGTCTAGAGGTCAGGAGCCCTTCTTCCCTTCTGGCCAGATATTGAATGTTGGCCTCTTGCTGCACTATTGGCTTTCAAACCCTTCTGGAATCCCCTGAAAGAAGAATCAACAGGTTGCACTATCCCTTTCTTATTACTTGGAATGGGGAATTGCAACCATGTGTTTTTCCTTGCATTGTAGAAAAGCCAAGCCTACCCGAGTTCCTGAATCTGTCTCTCTTCACATAGAAAAACATGGACTCCAGTTGAAGGAAAAGCTTGTGCTGCCTTCAGAGAGCAACATGACTGAACTATAGGACAGAATGGAGCAAGGGGGCTTGACGAAAGTATCAATCTTTTGCTTGATGCCTTTCAATGAGTAGGAAGGCATGGTCTCTTTCCACCTTTCCCAGCGCAGAGCCTCCAAGATACGTTAGGGCTCCCAAAATTCCCAGCCATCATGCCACTCTGATGTCTTAAGAATTTAGCCCCAACCCATCTAAAAGGCCCAAAGTTTGGAAGCAGCGGTCATGGGATTAGCAAGCCCTTTACTTCAGGAAGTGGAGCTGATCTTCTCTTAAAGGGGTGTGTACACATCAAATGGACAGGATTGAAAGGACAGAAGAAAAACTCCTTTCATTTGCATTTTAATAAAAACTTACCCACTTTGTGATTCCCAAACCAATACATGAACTGGAGTGCAGCAGTATGTGATAGCCCCATATCTGCCAATTCTTGTGTCACTGGATGAAGGAGAATGGGCTCGATAAATTATGGAGAAGAGAGAATTGGTGGAATGATTGTAGGAGTAGAGGGTGGGGGTCTTGCATTCAGGTACTAATGGCAAAATTGAATTCAAAAATTCAAAAAAAATCAAAAGCATGCCTAGGAAGTATAGATATCAAAAAGCAGTACGCTAGAAGGAAAAAAAACACGCATCCAAACTGTAACAAAAGGTTTATATTAGAAAGGTTACTTGCAAACAGTGTGGCTGTCTACAAATATGTATATAGATCAGCGTATAGCAGCCGAGTGCATATAAAACTACATGTGTACAAAATGCATGGGAAAATGAAAACAAAAAACTAGTATGTGAAATGAAAAGAAGAAAGAAAAAAGAAAGGGGGGGTAGAACAAGCAGAGGAAGAATGAGGGCAGAATCATGCATGCTGGATTACTCTAATCCATCTCTTCAAGCCTTTGCCTAAGGTCCAAGAAGTCCACTTTGAGAAGGGGGCTAGATTTCTGCAACCCCAGAGTGTTCACTCTTCCCCCCTCTTCCATCCCCAGGCTTTGAAATTTCTGAGAATCAGAAACGACAAGCAGCCATGACCGTAAGAAAAGTCAGTAAGCAGAAAGGTAACTACCTCCGTGCGCTGTGTGCAGTGAGTGGAAAGCAGCTGGCCGAGGTCTCCATTTCTGCCCTCCTGTTTTTCCTCCCCCTGAATGCCATCTCCCTTCTCCTGTCCTTTCCTTTCATCTGTGTATGTTTTAGTGCTTACAGGTTACGATGGCGATTGGGTCCAGAATTTCCGTCGCTAAGTGATGTGGTCATAAAGCGCAATGGCACGTGACCATGTTGCTTAGTGACAGCAGTCCCAGCAGTCCCAGTTGCTGTCATAACCCAGAGACTGTGGGTCGTTAAGAGAGGACCTCACATGACCAGAGTTTTAGACAAGCAGGCCAGTGGGCAAGAACTGCGGGCAGGTGGGGCCCGCAGGGGCTACTGAGTCACAGCTTAGCCCTGTTTGGTGCCTTCCAAATGTATGGTTAAGACTTCAGTTCCCTTGTTGTTTGGGCGGGGTTCTAGGAGTTGTAGGGCCATTGCATCTGGAGAAGGCCAGGTTGGAGAAGGCTGCCCTCGATCTATATTTTTATCATAGACAATTGTTACAGTGTGCATAAATGTATAGGAAAGCACTTATACTCAGTGGTGTTGTGGTGAGGAATTTGGACTAAGAGTGAGGAGACCCAGGTTCTAGTCCCCAAGCCATGGAAATACTCTGGGTGACTTTGGGCCAGTCCCCTTCTCTCAGCCCAAGAGCCAGTGTGGTGTAGTGGTAGACGTGCTGGACTAGGGGTGGGAAGATCTAGATTCTAGTCCCCCCTCAGCCATGGAAACTCTCTCTCAGCCCAGTCTACTTCCTAGAGCTGATATTCTGGGGAGAAATGGGAGGAGTGAGTGCTGTGCATGTCACCCTGACCTCCTGTCCAAAAGGCAGGATATAAATCCAGAAGTAAATAAATAAACTGAATTGTCCAATCCTTGAAATGATTATACTGGAAGAAACACAAAGGAAGAGATGCCGAACAAGAGTTGCTCATCTTCTGCAGGACAGATGAAGATGTCAGAAGCTGCCTTATAGCAGAGCAGATGATTGGACAGTCACACTCGACATTTGTGAGAATCAGGCATTATTGTGGCTCCCCCAAGTCCCAACAAGAGATCAAACAGCCACCTGATCCCTTTTAATGGAAGAACCTGCAATCTTTGACAGGCAAATAAAGCTACCTGCATTAAATTACAGGCCAGCTTTAAGATCTGGCAAGGCTTCCATCAGTCACACACTCTCTAATTATCTGTCTGTCTCAGTGTTTGTCTGTCTAGCTAGTTGGGCTAGCAAATCTGGGACTCAGTTCTTTCTGATCTGGTCAACAGAGACCCTCTAATTGTGCCATGGCTTGGCTACTCTTGGCTGAGTAATCAAAAGGTAGTGATGTGGTTTCCTGCTGCTTTGAAACACATGGAGCTCTGGAGAAGGGGTGCACATGGCATCAGGCCCGCAATTAAGGTCCCAACATGTTCAGACTTTTTTTTATTTGGGGAGTGGAGGTTGAAGAGCAAAGTGGGCACCTTAAGGCCTTAAGGTGCCCATTTTACCTCTTAAACCCCTTGAAAACTTCCAGTTTTGGATCTCAAGCATCAACATACCACCAAAACAGTACATGGCCCTCAAGCAAATACATTCCTGCAGCAGAGTAAGATTTAAAAAATAGGTTAACTGGGTTTTTTTAAAGAAAAAATTCAGCCATTCCTTCCAAACCCAGAGGAAAAAAGGATGCACGTATGTCACCTGAACCCACAAAACCATCTTATATGTGAGTTCAAATGCCCAAACGTGTCCTTTTCTGATCTGTAGCCTTTTACGGAATAGTTCCATCTACAGAGAAGGCCCAAAAGAGTCTCATGTCAGAAGAAGGTTCGCATTCAGAAAGTGGTTCAGAGTGGATTGTGAGCAAACCTAGATTTTGCCTAACGAAATTCAAATGGCCCAACACACAATGCAGATTGCCAGTTGACTTCAAACCAGTTTCCTACAACACGCTGCTCTCCAGACATAATGGACAACGATCCCCTTGATCGTTGGTAAATGTTGCAAATGATAGGCTAGCTGAGACAGATGGGAGATAGAGTCCCACACTTCTTAAGAGCATCAGATAGGTAAGGCTGCTTTACACCTTCATCCAGAGAAATAGTGAGTGCTTAAATTGCATTTATTTTGCTTAACTTAGCAATTGCTCTCTGGTTATCTCAGTATCTCTGTGGACCCCTTGGAAGATGGTGGCCTCTTACTGAACTAGGCTTCTCTGAATTTACATTAATTGATTTCCATCACCACCATCTTCTCATTCCTTCCTTGCCTTAGCTGTTTTTGCAGGACTGGGAATTGCCTATCAGAGAAGCCATTTTTTTTTCAACTTGGGTGAATCCAATGGGGTGAAGTCAAATGGTGGATTTTTTAAAATGATTATTATTGAAGACACTAATATGCAAATGATTCAACACAATTCAAATGTATCATGATGATCAAAGATCACCATATCTAAGAAAATAAAGCCAGAAAGATAAAATTAATAAATCAATAACAGTAGTCCAGGCAGGCAAATTCATCATGTTTGCACTAATTGTTGCTGTGTTTCACTGCTGCCACAAAAATTTGGTAACTATTGGTGGTAGCATGCTTGGAGTCTGAAAGAAGAAGATGACTATACTATTATATCCATCTTGGGACACTTCACAACAGGATGTGTGTAATCTTTGTGCAGGTCCCCATAAAAATTGCAGTGAAATGCATGTTTCCAGTTCTTTGGCATTACATGGGCAGACAAATTCTGTGACAGAGTTTTTGGTGAATTTGTCCTGTGCCTGGCCCTAAAACATCCTTTCTCAGCCTGGGGAAGGTTAACATACATAGATAGCTTGCAGATTGCCAAATGCTTTTTGCTATCAAGGTTCTCCTATTTCGGGAAAAGGTACTAACTTCGGGTTGGTATTCAGTATTACTCAACCTTTGAAGGACTATCTTTTTTGCCTGGTCAAAACTGGAAGATACTAAGTAAGTTTATGGCAAGCCCAGTGGACCTCAGTGTTTGATTCACTGCTGATATCTATGGGGAGGGGTGGTTGTTCTTCAAAATTAGCAGAACCAGGCCACTTCAACACTTTCTAAATTACAGAGAATGTTATAGCACCAATGAAAACGAATATGTGTAGCTCAGGGTTGAACTGTGGAGTCCTTGGGGTTCTCTGAGCTTGGTTGTTTTCTTACAAACGTTTCATTACCTGGCTAGGTAACATCTTCAGAAGATGTTACA